TTAAATGTTTTTCTGGTCTGCATTATACCTTCAACCATGTGATTTGCAGTGCTGAGGGCATTCTAATAATTTGTTGTCAGGTTTTCTCATATATTAAACTTCATCATCATCATTACTTAATATTACTGTTTATTTCACATTGCACTTCTAACTGTTCAGTGTCAAGTGAACTGACTACTACTGCATTCATTATGTTGTTTGATACTGCCTGCATGTCAACATATTCACATTAATATGCTAATTAACTCCTACACACACATTTTTGTCACTGTTAAGCATTTGCTTTTCTTAAAACAAATTCTGCTGTATAACATTTGGATAATTTACCAGTATTTCAAAACAATGTGTTTCATTTGTTTTCTGTTTTTGTGTCCATATTAGTGGTTAAGGTGAACTCAGTAGTTAAGATACAATTCGTAGCTAAGATACACTCTGTAGTAAGATACAATTAAAAGGTAAGATTCACTCAGTAGGTAAGATACACTCACTAGTCAAGATACATTTATTCAGTAAGATATACTCAGTAGTTAAAATCTACTTAAAATACCCAATGGTAAATATACAGTCAATATTGGAGAGACGTTATAGTTCACAATTATTATTAATAAACTCAGGTACCCATGAAGATAAAACTTACCAAGGAACTCTATATATGCACTAAAGAAAAATTAATCTGTCTGTGAGAAAAACGGATAACAGATTGTTTTAAAAATCTACAGGAACATGTGAATAAGGTTCTGATGACTTAGTTTAGAATGAGTTGAGTTTGAATATGTTTTTGATGTTTGGGGAGCTGCTAGGAGGTAGATGCGTGTCTGCTGGTCCAAATGTCTTGGATTCAAATCTGTATCAAGGCAGGTTTTTTTTTTTTTTTCAAAACTGACATAGGCTCTCATGTTGACCCTGCTTCGAAACCAGTACCAGATATTATCATGGGAAGTAAAGGCAGTCAGTGTGATGTTTACCACATCACCCACTGAGTATTGATTGGCTAAAAAAAAAAAGTATTAGTTAAGCATCACATGCCCAGTACAATGCTAGCATTTAAAAAAATGGTCTTGTATTTTAAAGTTTAAAACTAAACTGCTCCTCCTCCGTACATCTTTATTGTAATATTCCCACTGTAAAAACTGCATGACCTTTTCTGCGTGTTCAGCTGTGACCCCTGCACCTGGCCTTTGCCTAGAAGGCAGATTTCGCTGCACTGATGGCACCTGTATCAGTCGCACCTTTTTATGTGATGGGAAGCCAGATTGTCCAGATGGTTTGGATGAACAGTGTTGTAAGTATTGCCTGGCAAGCACCCGAGACGGTTACTCCTGGTCAAAGTAGATACAGAAGTTTATATATTGCTTATCTTGAATGGTGAATGAAACTAACATATTTGTATAATTGTTAGTGAGTAGACTAGACTACAACTGTGAATGAAATTGAATAAATACATAGTGTTAAACTGTACCACTGTGAATGAAATTTAATAAACACATAGTGTCAAACTGAACAGTTATGAAATTGTTAGTGAGTAGACTAGAGTAGACTACAGTTATGAATGAAATTAAAAGAACACATAGTGTTAAATTCTACCATTATGAATAAAATTAAATGAACACAGAGTGTTAAACTGAACAGTTATCAAATTTTGAAAACCACCGTAATTCCTATGCCACCAGTAAAAGAACCATTGTCGACGTACACAATATCTAATTTCATTTACCAATTTAAATGCACCTGTAATGCTGCATAAATGGGCTGAACGGATTAACGACTGGAGAAATGGGTTGCTGAACATATTTCACTATGGGTAGTAAAAGCAATGCAGAACACTGACAACAAATCAGCAACAACGAATCAGGGGAATGGTTAAAAAAATCCATCATCATCAGTTGCTTCCCATCTTTTAAAATCTGGGCACATAATAAACAAGGATGATGCATTTCAAATTATTTTCTCTTGGGCCTACTGAGATATGCCGAAGCATCAGCTATCAGCTGGTGTAGTCCAGAACTATGCAGACAAAAGGAAATGCTCGTCACATTGCGGCTACCCTGGTGAAACAGATTTTGTAGTTGATTTTATGTTTCACTTTAAAGGATCCATTTATTTGCTTCATTTTAATTTATTGTTACTGTAGTATGCAACTGACGAGATACAGCGAAGCTTGCCAGGCAATAATCTGTGCAATCTGTTGTTTGTGTCTTCAAATGGGTAAACGTTGCTTTAATTATGAAAATGTTATTGAGTAGACTAGACTACAATTATGAATGAACTGAATAAACACATAATGTGTATTTGTACCATTATAAATGAAATTCAATAACAATTATGAAATTGTTATTGAGTAGACTAGATAACAATCATAAATGAAATTGAACGAACACATAGTGTTAAATTGAGCAGTTATGAAATTATTAGTGAGTAGACTAGACGACAATTATGAATGAAATGGAATGAACAAATAATGTTGAATTATACCATTATGAATAAATGCAATGGACTCATAATGTTAAACTAAACAATTATGAATGAAATTCAGTGAGCTCATAGTCTTATATTGTACAGTTATAAGTGAAGTTCAATAAACTTATTGTGTAGTTATGAACAATTTCAATGAGTGCATAATATTAGATTGTACAAGTCATGAGTGAAGTTTAATTAGCTCTTAGTGTGTTAGATTGTAACAATTATGAACGAAATTCAGTTAACCCAGAGTGTCAAATTGTTCAGTCATGAATAATTAAAATTTTAGTAAAGTAAAGATGCCTTTCCGCATTTTGGGCGCATCAAGCATATGGGAAGAGCACCCCATATTTTTACAGACCAATAGGCGCTAGATAGGTAGTGTGGTCAGCACCAGCCTCCTGTACTTCCCCAGGACATCTGGTACCCAAATTAGGCTGGGTCAACCTGCGACGCCCCATACCATAACAAAAATCCACACTGTCAGCTGTAGGTTTCGAACATAGTACATTGGAATTACAAGTCGGACTTGCAACGCCTTAGCCACAGAGGCCACGAATTCACAATTTAAGACTGTATTAATGTGAATGTATTAATTCAGCATGTAGTTGAATGTTGAATTAAGAATCGACATCACAGCACTCGGGATACCCCCATAATCGCTCCCTCCCCATCTTCAGCAGCTAGCGAAGAGTTAAAATTCCGATGGTACCAGTAACCGTCTGATTGTATATCTGTCTCGCCTTTTCCCTGTGTGTCGAGCCAGATCCTCTTGCAACTCCTCGTAGTGCCATTCTTCTCAGACCGTTATGATCTTTCTGTGCCAAGGCACTGTTCACTCACTCCCAAAGGGCCCTCACAAAATCCAGCTTGTCATACATGAGTTCGTTACCAGGTGTTGCAGAACTGCCAGTTTATCTGCCTGCTCAATTCCCAAAACACCTTCATGCCTATAGAAAATATCCAAAGGATACTGACTACCCGGGACCTTTAAAGTGATGCTTGCCACTCTTTACAGAGCATGTCTCCCTCAACAATAAATGCCTTTATTTAACCGTATATTAAAAAAAAATTTTTTTTAACAATGTACATTAATAATATTACATTTTTTTTTAGTTAATAGCCTGGGTAACATTATGTTTTTGAAAGGGTTTCTCTCAAGAATCCAAACCCACACGACCCAATCAAAAAAAAATATATTTCTTTACTAGGGTGAAAGGGTTAAAGTAACAATTGCTTGGGACTGAAAGAGTTAACCAGTTAAAGATCTACTGTTGAGAATGTGAATTTTTATCTCAAAATATGTCATGTTTACTGTTAATGCTTCTGTGAACTTGCATGCAAATATCACATTGCAGTTTGTTTATGTTGCATGTGGCATTTGATTACGACTTGTGTTTTCTTCACGTCATTTCGTATATGCTTATAGGTGCTCAGATTTCTCCCTCAACATATACATCAGATTCTCATAGTTATTAATAATAATAATACCAATTCTGTGCTTCTAACAAAGCTTCTCATATTTCTGGTGTACCTTTCATGCCTGGCTGTGCCAGTGAATACCTTATTCCTACATTCGTAGCAGTAATGTGGAAGCACGGCCCCCAAATCTGCTGATCATTTACTCTCTTTAACAATGTCTGCATGTTTCTTAGGTAATGTCTAACTATTGCAGATCCAGATAATCTGTCTGCTCTTTCATTGCCAGCACCACATACATATTATGGGCTAAAGAGGATGGTAACTCCATACACAGTGGAACTTGGCTGCCGTTTAGTGTAATCACCATCAGTAATATAATTAACTATAAGGATTTTAACATGCACACACGCACACACGCATGTGCACACACACACACACACACACACACACACACACACACTCACTCACTCACAAACACTCACACACACATACACACACTTGCACACACACACACTCACTCACTCACTCACAAACACTCACACACACACTTGCACACACACACACTCACACAAACAATCACACACACTCACAATCCACAATCACACACACACACTCTCTCTCTCACACACACACATATTCACACACATTCCCAACAAGCATGTTGTGGAAGTGGACTATCTGGGGGCATCCTGGGAAGTCAGAGTGCATCTGTGAGAGAGGAAAGGAACCAAGAGTCTGCATACAAATAAGGTAGATCTGCAAAACGGATGTGCATGCAGCACTCAGGTTCTGGAACAAGACTAAGTCCAGAGGTAGATGGACAACAAAAACTTTCTGCCAAAGTTTACAGCCGGTGAACAAAAGAAGAAGCAGAAGCTTGTATTTTCCTGGTTCTAGGGTGCCAGTTTTTTGGGGGATGAAAAAGAATAGACAGGCATGTCATAACAGGCTACTAATTAAGGGTTTATTAAAGTCAGATGTGAGGGGCTGAAAGGTACAGATATTGCAGCTTAGCTGTAAACCACAACATAGCGTATGAAATGCCTATTAAGAGGAATGCAGAAGAAGATGAAACTCAAGTATACACAGAAATCTAATCTGTTGTCCCTGTTTATTTTTAGTTCGTTGCTCTGAGGATGAATTCACCTGCAAAAGTGGGGAGTGTATTGCACAATTTCTGCGCTGCAACCAAGTAAAGGATTGTTCTGATGGATCTGATGAAACAGCTTGTCCTGTCTGTACGTAAACAAATTTTGGGTATAATTTTTCTGTTTATTTTTGTTGTGTTCTTATTGGTCATCTTTAAATTTACAGGAAATTTGATCATATGAAAACTTTGACTTGTAAGTACCATTGGCTTTGAATGTTGTATATCTCTGTTTCCTCACATTCCTTTCTTTTTTCGTCCTTCTTTCCTTCTTCTTTTTTTCCTTCCCTCTACCTTCCTCTTCTCCCTATGCCTCCAAGTCCCCCTCCTTCATCTTTCTCTTCCTTTTGTCTTTTTCTTCCTCTTCACTTTTTCTTCTTCTTTTCCTCATTTCCCTCTTCATTTTGTTCCTACTAGTCCTTTTTTTAATTCACCTCTTTCTCCTGCCCTTGCCATATCCTGTTATCCTATATCATCAGTTACCTTCTTTGTCCTTAAGATATTCCTTATCTCTCTGTGTCTTTTTAAAGTGATGTCATTTAATGTACAGGAATATTTGCACTGACATTTTGTTATTGTATATTTTCTAACCATAACCAACCAGTACAGTGTAAATAACAATGGACTTGGCATGTGTGGTTGTCAATTCACTGATCTGTATTTATGTTCTTAATACTTGCTTGAACACAGGTACATAGTACAAGATGCTGAATATATCTTCACAGCTTTGGCAACAAAGTTGTACTGATATGTTTCAGATATGCTGAATGCATTCATTCTTGTTTGTCTTAGTATTGTCTCACTTAATAAACACATCTAACTGTTATGGTGGGAATTGTAAGCCATATAAACACTATCATATATGTTTGTTATTCTGTGTTGTTCTTAAACATAAGTGTTACAAAAATGTAAATATATAAAATATTAAGCTTGACATATTTGAGAACAGTGGTTCCCAACTGGCTGAGATCTGTATGGTCCCTTTCATTTTCAAAGATCTGCTACACAGACATCCGACTTTTTGGCAGTCACATTGAAGAACTTATTTAAATTTATCAGTATTAGAATAGCACTGGGAAGCTAACCCAGGCAACAAATGCCTGCAGAAGTTGGATGTGTTGGCCGAAAGGCGCAAATTTGACAACCATATTGTAAACTTGCACATCATATTTATGTTTTCAGATGAATGCAGAAGAAGAAGAATAACAAAAGGGATTACAATCTAACAGTGATATTTAAATTTTTTAAATTTTTCATTTGGTGTGGGATGTTTGGGGGAGAGCGGGAAGAGGTAAAGGATATCACATTTCATGTACACAGTGTTATAGACCATAAGTCTTTGACACTAGAAAACATGCTAAAGATAGATAACAAAAAATGTGCACATGTGGAATTAATATATCAGAAAGCATTATTATATCATCCTGGTCCTCCAGGTTGAGGGTTGATGCATGGGGGCAACACCTCTGCCTTTGTACAACTTCATTTCGATATGCAACAGATATTTAAACTTTCATTTATGAAGGATTTAAATGAACAAAGACACTGGAACATTAAAAGACTTTAGATTTGGATCATTGAATGTGCAAATACTTAATAGAGCTGGAGCAACTGAAGAACTGACCCATGAGTTATGGGATCACAGAATGGGTGTGACAGAGATTCAAGAAATAAGATGGCCAGGACAACATACCATAGAAGTAATTGTTATAGTATATGGGGGAACACTCAAAATAAACATGATCTAGGTACAGGATTTATCATCAGGAAAAAAAGCTGTGGGCAAGTCTTCTAATACTAGGATCAATAAGTTTTGAATGAAAGGAAAATGGAAAAATATAGCAATAATGTGCATGCCACCAGAGAAGATTTGAAAAAAAAAAAAAAGGTGATATTAAAGAAGACTTTTATGAACTCCTTGAGGATGTCATAAAGGAACAACACTTGCAGACCAAGAAAATGATGGAGAGATAATATACAGGCAGACCTGCAAACACATGGAGTCACCAACTGGAAAGAGAGGTCTAATCACAGAGATGAATAAAGGTGGGTCATATCTGCACCAATGAACGAACCTCAAGACTAGGAATGCTGAAAAAGAAGACGGCATAATAAAAATGTAATCTCAAAGATAAATTACAGAATCTTATCACAATTATTCGCCCCCCAAAAAATACATTTAAAATACATCAAACTAAACAATCTTTACTGCTACAAACTGTTACAATTTTAAGGGCAGAATTTTAGACGGACCCACATGCCCAATTCTCACTACTTTTGAAATAAATTTCCTTCATGCGTACAGTTAATACTTAAGCTGCACAGTATTAAATTATCATAAATATCCAATACTGAAATAGAAAAAAACCGAAATATCCCAGTTATGAATTAGATGGGTTGAAAAGAAAAAAAATATTGATTTATCCCAGTTATTACTGAGATGAGTAGGATATTGTTGGGCTCTCCTAGCAGATTTGGCCGGCAAGCTGGACTGCTTCGGCCGGCTTAGTGGGGCTTAGTGGGAGTTATGTCCCTTCGCCCCCAGATCTGGGGGACACAACCAAGCATTGGTAGCCCTGATGTCGACCTCACTGTCGTGTTTGAGTCGTGACTTTTTCCGCTCGTTGTTGTGAGTGCGGCCAAGGGAAAGAACTCTCACTACACCGACCGAAGCCGACCTACTTGCCGGCCAAATCTGCTAGGAGAGCCTATTGTTGTTTAAACCACTACTACTACAACGTGAAAAAAAAACCATACAAATAATAGTCTTCCTCTACATACTAAATATATGACCTTACCACTTGGTGGTGAACTGATGTCTGACAAGCTAGACATCATGAGGGCCCTCTTGAAGTGAGTGAACAGTGTGGATGGAAAGATAGATCATTACAGTTTCAGGAGAATAGCGCTGCGAGGAGTTACTAGGGAATCTGGCCGATGCTCAACACTCTAGGGAAGGGCAAGATATTATTTAAACAGACAGTTACTGGTGCCATCGGGATTGGAACTCTTTGTTTGCTGCTGAAGATAGGGGAATGGAGCACTTATAGGGGAGTCCCAAGAGATATGATGTTGATTTTAATTCAGCATTCAACATTCAATATATGACGTGATGCAGTAAGCCTATGACAATTTTACAAAAATGATAGTGACAAATAGCTCTAGAAAACTACAGGAAAGAATAAGCAGTACACAACAAGAGCATCACAAGAGCAAAGGTTAGCATATGAGGTGTTAGTCAATCTTAAGACAGAAAACATTAACGGTATCCCAGCTTACTTTAAATAAACTCAAAGATAGATTACACAATATGGTTATTAAAACTGTTTGAAAAGTACACTTAAATATATTACACTTAACAATCAATACTCTTACAATCTGTTATAATTGTTATATAAGCTACACACTATCAAATAACCAACAGTAATTAATAAGCACAAAAATGCATTATTACTATTTTAAAAAATTTCTATAAATCCCCGATTATAACCCAGATGAGTTCAACAGGATGTTGTTGTTTAAATTACCTACTACTACTTTACAGGTTAACAGGCATGTTGTTGACATATAGCCATCCTGTATATTTAATGTTTGCTAACACATATTGTCTATAACATATAACACACAAATGCAGAAGGGTTCTCAGGAACTGGCAGTTACCAGACAAAGGGCCATTTCCACTGGCGCCAAAGAAAATGTCATGTCTGTCACTATTGTTTTCAGTGCCAGGCACTTGTGGTGCTAATCAGTTTCGGTGCACAGATGGCAGTTGCATAAACTTGTCCCTCCGTTGTGACAGCCGCCGTGACTGCCCAAGTGGTGACGATGAGTATGATTGTTGTAAGTGTCTTGATCATTTCTTCTCTAAATTTAGTATATTTTGAGACTTAATTTTTAACCCTTTCCAAAATGAGTAATCTGAATGTTTTGGAAAAGACTGCTTTACAAATAAAACTTGTCACAAATACTGGAAAGAGAGAGTTATCATTTTCTGGCCACCTAAAAAGAGAAAATCTGGAACTCCTGACAGCCGGAAAGATTGATAAAAATATAGAGAGAAAAAAAGAGAAGATTCTTGACAAACTTTTTGTCATGGCATAGAATGTTATTTAAAAAAAAACATGGAGAAACATGATCTCTCACATCTGTCTTCAAGGTACATGATGATACTGGATTATTTAATTTGTAAAGGGTAAAAGACACATGTATCTGCCATTTTGGAAGATATGGGATATGGTTCTCTGTCTATGTTCTCTTTGTTCTCTGTCTATGTTCTCTTTGTTCTCTGTCTGTGTTCTCTCTGTGTTTTCCTTTCTAAACAGCACCCAGTGTCATACAAGAAACTTCACTTTAATTTTCTGAACCTCATTTGACCAGGTTCACCCAACATCATAGCCACCTGGTCTTGAAAAAAATCTAACTTTGATGGGAATTTGAGCCTATACTGTTGCACCTGAATTTGCATGCATTATGTTTTACTGAAGGATAGATCATATTTAGGGGTTGGGGGAGGGGGGGGGGGGATCAGATATACATATTAGCTGAGGTTGCAAATGAAAAGAGAGTAAGTGTAAAGAAAAAGGATACAATTTAAGTAATTTGGCCATAATAGAGTTAGAATTTTTTAAATGTTATGTATACTCAATCTGCTGTATGGTGCAGAAACCAAAACAATGAACAGGCTATTAGACAACTGAATTGAGTCTCTGGAAATGTAGATATACGGAAGAATAAGTCATGTTTCGTGGAAACAAAAGCACTAAAATACAGACTTTATGGAGTGACTGCAACTGAAAAGAGACAAAAGAGACAACTTAAATTAAATATTTTGGCCATTAAAAAAAAAATCAGTTTCATCAACTTTTATTATACCTAATTTTACTATATTTTGCAGGAACATAGATAATGAATAAGCTCATAAAATATTGAATTAAATCTCACTAGAAATGTAGATATACAGAAGGATAGGGCATGTTTCATGGAAGCCAAAACAAAAATAAAACACAGACCAGAGTGCGACCAGATTGTTAGTGACATAAATGTAAAACAAAAGAAAACAAAAGACTATTGAAATATTTTGGCCACACTAAA